AAATGTGCTGAGCTGCCCCTCCCTTGGGAGGAGTTAAAGTGGACTGATCCAACTTCTTTGTCTGTGGATGTGGGTGGATGTTTGAAAGCTGGCAAGACTATCCATGTAGATGTACCTAGTAGTAATTGAGGTTTGGGAACTGGTAGACTCTAAATGTATGATGTACTTAGTAGTAATTGAGGTTTGAAATCTGGTAGACTATACATATACATTTATGATCCTTTCTACATCCACATACTTCTACTCAACGAATATGGTCTCAAACTTTTTGTTAAGCCCTGCCGTCCTGTGATTTGGAGTCTAAAGGTATTGGGCTAGAATTCCTGGGAGACCCCTAATGTTGTTCCTTGAGAAAGGTTCTTTACACCTATTTTGCTTGTTGGCTCAGCTGAAAGTGGGTACTTGGCTTTGGTTAGGAACTGTCTAGCAAATCTGATTTTAATGGGATGGGATGAAAACTCTGTTTTCTTCCCTTTCTCGTGAATAACGATAGCCTTATAACTATGTGAAGTTTTTATTCATATTACGCCATGCCCATACATGAAAAACTACAATGACATAACACAGCCAGTTACCAAAGACATGTCAAAGTATATATCAATGAAACAATACATGTACAACAGTAAGAGAAAGATCCCACAGAATATGTGTATCCAATATAACTTAGCAGAGGATTAGAGTCTTAGTGCTTGGGCGGCCAGATGATTTCATTATACAGATTGCTTTATACAATATGAATTCTTATATTCCTTTTTACATGTGTTCTAATATATATACCAGCATTATGGCAGCCGTTTAGTAGTAAGGTATACATCAAAACTTGAGGAATAAAGCTACATCAGAGGAATCAACTTTTATATCATCATTGAGATCATATCATCAAAACCTTAACAGAATCAATTCATTTCTATGTAGATAAAGCAGCCCAAGACTCATCTTCTGAAAGCAGACAATTCATGTCAGCGCTATAGATTAAAAGTACGTACATGCGCTTTGTCCAAACTGGGGTTATACTGTAAACTATTTATTATGGTTAAAAGGGTCGACAATATAAAATGACCATCAACATTTGCTGTGAGGAAACTCAAGAAAACATTCACCTTATTAAATTGACCCAAACAATGTGTTCTTCAGACTATAACGCCGTATGTGGCTTTAGTTTCTTTGTTGTTATGTACTTAAGTGTGATATCAACTGAAATAAGAAAAAGACGAATTCTGTATTTTGGTGTTGAACCTAACACGAATAACTACGAATAGCACATGTTTCACCGACGACTCTTCTTAGATTTCATTGTATGCTGGGAGAAGCAGTGCATTATTGGTTAGCGCCGACGCAAGGAACAACTTTCTTCGTTTCTCTTGAAATATGTGAAATACATGTGTGTAAGAGGAATTTTAAAAATTTACGGGGAACCACCTCGATACACCTCTAGATTTCATGGGTTGCCCCGTACATTCGTTGTTCATAACCCTATACATATTGATGTGTTTTTAAATGTAAACTGCCAATAAGTCAAACCAATAAACAAAACATAACTGTATTATACACGTGTACTTTCAATCTTACAATATAGCATATAAATTAGAAATAAATCTGAAATCATTATTTCTATACGTAGCCTTTTGTGCTGATATTTTGCATTATATCATACCCGGGCCGCAATAACGTTTGATAACGGGTTCCGGACCGGGCCCTACTTTACGGTACGGCCCGGTCCGGAACCCATTATCGAACGCTTCCATGGCTTCCATAAAACGGTTCGAACGCGTTTCGCCCTAACCGCGTGTGCCCCTTTCGAAAATTCGAATACAGAATCCAGACGTTGGAATTGATGTTGTTGCATTTTAGGGTTCAGTGTCACCAAATTTTGGCTCATCATGCATTGAAAGTCGTGTTTTCTTGGGTGGGTATGACATAAATAAAATACAACACGGTGTATTCCGCATCGCCCTCGGTCCCTGCCCTCGCGCGAGTCGGATCGGCCTGCGGCCGTCCCGACCCGCGGTCGGGCCGATACCTCGGGCGATACGGAATACTCCGTGTTGTATTCTATATTTACAAGATATCTAGATGGTTAATTTTGATTATAAAAATGACACCAAAGTTGTTATAATGATGAAAATGTACCAGTAGAGTATTCTCCAACAATTTGATGGTCAAACGATAAGTTTGAACGTCACATGGTCCACAAAAGCCCAATATCATTAAAAGTGGAATTTTAATCAACTTACCTGGGCAGTTTGAGAAGTGCAGCAAGTAGAAGAGAAAAATCCTTGCGGTAAACATGGTGTGTCTGGTAGCGCCACGGCGGAGAAAGCTGCACTATACCGGCGTTACTGTTCTTCAGACTGACGAAGATTATTCCATCCAGAAGGGTTATGAGGGAAAACGTTGTAAACTGCCATTGCATTTGCGTACTAATGGTTGTATAACCTTCTCGATTTCGGTATGTCCGTTTTAAAGCAAAGAGAAATAAAAAATGGCACTTCTGCAAGCTAAGATTGATTTTTTTTTCTTTTATTATAAAAGAAGGAATAAAAAAACAGTCCATAACCTTTGGAATCGTCCGGCGTTGCTATGATGTAATTGTATTCCGTGAAATACTTTCAGAAAAAAAAATATAGAGGGATACAAAAGATGAAGTAGATGGATTTGGTCGCCATGGGTGGATTTGGGTTAATCCGAGGATTAAGGGTTTCTCCATTCATCCTATGATGAGACTTTCCGTAGACTATTGTCCCTTCCATACACCAACCACGTGTGCTTCTTTCATGATATATAAAACGGCGTCAAAAATTTATATGGACAAAACATTCCAAAGAACACATGACACAGTTCATTCCTGATCCTTATTGCAAACATAAATACGCAATTTCCGCGCGTATTGTTAAGAGCAGTCTCACAACTAGCATTTGAGAGATTAGCAGCCATAAAGACGTAAATATTTCTGTCTTTCACTATGTAAAATCTCTTCTTATACAGGCACCAGACGTCGACGGTCTACAGAAACATCGGCAGGTAAATTCCTCTCGGTTGTTAATGAAGAATACTACCTTGATAGAGCGAAACTAAATACATAAATTACGGAAAAATATGGACTATTCTGCCAGTACTGAGCATGAGTGAATGAATGGGTGAATGAATGGATGGATGAATGAATTGGTGAATGGTTTATTGCTATGGTATTTCTTTGCAGCTTCTCCTTTGCCTTTAGAATTGATATCGTGTCGTTTTCCAACAGTAGTATGGTTTTCCAACATTTTTTTATAATTTACTGCATATACCAACATTTTTTTCGTAATTTACTGCATATATTTGCTCATTTTGCAGCTGCTTTGTACGATACAGTATGGACGAATAGTTGTTTTTTGGAAACGGACAAGCATGCGCGTATGTCATCAATATAACCAATTAACAACATACATTTACAATGAATAATTCCTTTATTGTACAAACAAAGAAACAAACAAACATACTTAAAGGCTACTAGTGAGTAGGTACCTGTCACAGGAAAATGAATACTCTGTAAATCACATGATATTCGCGATATGCGATTTGCAGTTTTCGTGGTCACCTCTGCGCCGTGAATGTATATCATTACCGTGAACAAATAATTCGTCGACTTTCTTTGTCCGTTTTTCTCAGTCCGCGAAATGTTTGCTACTGCGAATATAAAGTGATTCATAGTATTGAAAGACAAATCAAACTTTATTACTGAATGAATTAAAGAGATTAATTCCGGACGATTTGAGTGACACCAGTCTCTCTTATATTGATTGTCTAAAAAAATTAAATGACAGAAAAAGTCAAAACATATCCGTAGAATTAATATTCTGTATCTGCATCCCCGGTATTCTGTATCTGCATACCCGGTATTCTATATCTGTATCTGTATACCCGGTATTCTGCATATGTATCTGTAATGGTAAGGCCACCATCGTACCACCGTGGTTCTCGGTCGAGAATGTCTGTTGCTTCCAGTCTGAAAGAGTGTCCCTAATGATGTTGTGTAATAGTGGTAGATGGCAGATGAGTAGCCGCTTGCAGTAGTTCTGCAATATTGCTTGTATCGTTTCTTCGGTGGTTGCCTGGTTTCTCTAATGTAAATAAATATATAGGCGTCGTTGCAGTTGGGCTCGTCTCATTTCAGTCTGTAGATTAGTCACTTCAGATTTCAGGGTGAACCAACTTCTGTCTCAGGATAGAGTAGGGTTTGAAGTTGGTGCCGATATTGAAGCCTTGTAAAATCCTTGTGATATCCAACCGGTTTTTCTAGGTCATTTAGCAGGTGATACCTGATCACTAGTTCTGTCCGTTTATTTTAATTACACTGAGGAAGACTTACCAATGTCACTCGAAACGCCCGAACATAATCTCCATAATTCATCTAGTGGTAGATTTTGAATTGTCTTTGAAAAATTGTTTCCCTGGACGTCTAACATTCATACATGTAGATATAAATAATTGTATAGTTCATAGATACACACATTCTCACATTAGCACAGTGCTATAGTCTAGTGAGTGAATTCGGCGTCGCCTAGCTACTTTGTGATGATGAAAATGTAAGAACCGATTCAAACGATTGTCACAGTTGGATTTAGTAAGTTCCCTATGTGTACTTATAGACGCCATCCCCACTTACGTGTATCTAAATAGTACCTACATCTACTCTCCAAGCAGAGGTTTGGGTTTTGGGTTATTTTTGGCGTATTGTTAAGACTTCTTTATCGGGGTTTCTTCTTTTTGCGCTGGAATTTTCCTTTCACCCAACCCAACGGGGTGAAAGAAAAATTCCAGTGCACTGAAAAGACTACTTCCCAGAGCCCTGATCCTGCACTTTTTAAAAATACTTTCTTCATTGTTAGTTTTTTATGTGCGAATAAATTTAACAAAACAAGCAAACCAGGGTAGGGAGGCCTTTTTTCACATCTTGAAGTATCAGCAGAGTGGTCGCTTTTATTCTAATAGAAACGAGGATGTTACGGCAGCGTCTATACCTAGTCAGGGTTATAATGGTCATGTATGTTTGCAAGGGTACCTTCCACCACAGAGGTAATATCAGTTAAATTGTAGCAGGTTGCGTCACACACATTCTCCCCGATGACGCTGTCAGAACCACCTCGCTCTATGTAAGTTTCATTCAGCGCCCATTGCTCGTAAGCAGCAGGTTTTGAAGAGCCAAAAGCACCAGTCTCGCATCGAGACACGCAGTCCTCTACAAGACCTTTCTCGTCTGTTTCATTCAAACTATCGTGGTCCTCAATGCGACCTTCTGCGTAAGGACCAATGTCTGTTTCATTCAAACTATCGCGGTCCTCAATGCGACCTTCTGCGTAAGGACCAATGTCTGTTTCATTCAAACTATCGTGGTCCTCAATGCGACCGTCTGCGTAAGGACCAATGTCTGTTTCATTCAAACTATCGTGGTCCTCAATGCGACCTTCTGCGTAAGGACCAATGTCTGTTTCATTAAAGCTATCGTGGTCCCCAATGCGACCTTCTGCGTAAGGACCAATGTCTGTTTCATTCAAACTATCGTGGTCCTCAATGCGACCTTCTGCGTAAGGATTAATGTCTGTTTCATTTAAACTATCGTGGTCCTCAATGCGACCTTCTGCGTAAGGACCAATGTCTGTTTCATTTAAACTATCGTGGTCCTCAATGCGACCTTCTGCGTAAGGACCAATGTCTGTTTCATTCAAACTATCGTGGTCCTCAATGACGTCATTATTCTCGACAGTAAGGCATATTCCTTCCTTCAAGCACCAGACTATACTTATAACCAGCAGCAACCCACAAATCGCTGCAAACACCACGAACCTCATATCTTTATTATGAGTGCTTTTGCCTGAAGGTGCAGTGTTTTGCCGAGTTATGTTGCTAGACGTTGTCTTTGAAGGACATGAGAAGTTTGAGTGTGCGACCCTGAATTTTGTTGTATGGGACCCAATTTCCGAGGAAACGGTACAGAAGCTGCTGTTATGAGCACACATCCCCGGCCCCTCAAACCAAAGTGTGAAAGTGGACTTCCCCATGTAGTTGGAACACAATTGATGCCTTACATGATTACTCGCACGGTTACTCGTCTTACATTTAACCCAGCCTTCAGCTTTCAACTTGGTCTCCACCACAACAGTTAGGCCCCCTTTTTTTAGTGTCATTGTCGAGTTATACGTTATGTCCATGAAATATATTGAACCATCGGAAAAAATACAGGACATTTTGGGCAGGTCTTCCCAGTACATCGTGCCTGCTACTTTGCATTGCCCGAGCGTTAGATTTTGTTCTACAGTCGTGATTTCTATAAATGGTGCTGGACAAGGCAATGCGCTGGTATTGACCGGCTTGGGAGGACTCCCTACCAGGGACGAGGCGGGACACTCTCTTTCCAGAAGAGATACAGACTGCAAATTAACCTGCGGCCTGGGGTTGTAGTGTTTCCATAGATATTGATACAGCTTGTTGTTCGCACACGTACAACGCAGAGGGTTGTTCGTTGGCAGTATATCTATTCCCAATACCTTCCACCTTGGATAGACTACAGCAATGTTATTTCTACTCAAATTTATTAACATTGATTTGGGAAATCTAAACCAAAGGCCAGAAACATATGTCAGTGTGTTCCCCGCAAGGTTTAATACCCCCAGTTTCTGATTGGAACGGAATGCCCTATCTGCAATCCAGGAGATTTCGTTGAATTGCAGGTACAACGTCGTAAGTTCTACAAGGTCTGCAAACATACCGAATCTTACTGACTGGAGTTTGTTGCCTACGATATAGATCAACTTTGCAGACTGCAAGCCCAGTTGTGCCCCAAGCTCTACATATGATAATGAATTTGCACTCACGTCCAACCATTCGAGCTGTAGTCCACGCCACACGTCAGGGTGTATTGTCGTCACGATGTGGTTGTCAACAAGTCTGAGATCCCGTAGCATGGGCAAACCTTCAAATGTGCCGTCTGAAGGATCACATGTAGATGACATACTAATGTGTTCCAACCCTCAAACACAATGATTTATGTACATGATATTCACATTTACTTGAAGGCATCCAATGCAGTTTTTAGTGCTCAGGAACCCGACTTTTCAAAGCCAATATTCTACTCACTTATCTACATACTGAGGTTAAACCTCACTGTCCCAATGTCTATTGATCCTCACGGAGCAAAGATTCCCCAAATTTTGGAAAATGGTTACTGAAACGGCCCTGGGATGATTTTTTGGAGACCGCCTAGAAAAAATGGACTAATCTTAGGGCTTGTTTCTGTAGTCTTGAATGCCCAAAGTATGAAATGCTGATTTAAATGTGCTTATGTGAAGCAATATGTGTCAATATCACGAAGATTGCTTTATTCAGAATATTTCCATTTTTGTATTATTATCCTAATTTTCATAATTAATAATAATAATTGAATATAGAATGTTCGTGACATTTTACCTCAAGATAGGCCAGGTTGTTGTCCAGCAGCAGTAGCTGTTCCAGACTCTTCATCCCATCAAACGTGCCGCTTCTCAGAACTGGGAGGTTGTTCAGCCAGATGACCAGGGTCTTCACCTGTGGTACTTTACAAAACGCTCCTGCCTCTATGGTTGTTATGTTACAATTCACTAGCCACACACCACATTGTGTACCGCACGGTATCTTGGAGACAGCAGTGGTATCACCAGTAGTCAGAGTACCGATGTTGTGCTCTATAATCATAAGTATTGTCCTGTCCTCTTGTGATGGACTTTGGACTTCAACACTACTAGTATTTAACACACTTTCTTTACTTGAACAGTTGTAACAGGACATATACGTTCTTGACGAATGGATGTTCCTGAAAGGTCCTAGGTATTCATGATGAAAGTAGGAGTCTTTATTCCACCTAGAAAAATACTTTCCAGTATCATACTTGTACTCTAGTCCGTCCCCAATACTGCAGCTTGGCATTGGTATCTTTTTACAGTGTCCCAATTGCCCAGCATCTACACACGGCACTACCAGACACAGAACTAATACTAAACAGACATTCACTATCCTCCTTACAAACATAATGAAAGTATCACAATCTAATATCGGTCACTGCAAAGAAAATCCCTTTCTGAATAAACGCACTTGACAGATAAACAGCAGATGTGTCGATGCCTGTAGAGTACCTGTATAAACGGATGTACAGTACCTGTACAGTACCTGTATAAACGGATGTATAGTACTTGTACAGTACCTGTGTAAACGGATGTACAGTACCTGTACAGTACCTGTATAAACGGATGTACAGTGCCTGTACAGTACCTGTATAAACGGATGTATAGTACCTGTACAGTACCTGTGTAAACGGTGGCTTCGTCATGTCATCCACGGCGGGAATTTGCAGAGCTTCTGCCACAAAGCTCCAAATGCTGGCGGACTATAGCGACTTAGATCCAGTATCAAACTATCTGACGTCATATTCTATTTCTGGGACACGGGCTGGTAGACTAATTTGTGTTCTGTGGAATTGTCGAATTCGTGGTAATTAAATTACCTGTGGCATTTTTTTTCGTCCTGAAAACGCACACAGTAACAAAAACATTTATCTCTTCCTCTTGACAAGCCAAACATACAAACATATTCAGTTACATTTGGAAAAGATAACGGTGTGTATAGCTAGATTTCAGCTATAATGTGCGGTTCAACATACAATCAAAATCGAGGGATACAAAATATAAAGTTCTATGTACAAACAGTGATGCATACAGTCTGGTATTTTACTACTTCGATTGTAATTTACAGGAAATTTTAGAAGTAATAGATGAGTAAAGATCATTTTGAAGAGAAGTGTTCAATTCTCTACTCTTCTGCTTATTTTTTTGCCTGAAGGTGCAAACAGGGTCATCAGCAGGAGTACACAACATTGGTATCTAAGCAGTAAGCCTCAGACAATCAACAGATTCATATTAATATGCATGTAATTCTTCTGCTACAATTGCGAAAAGGGGACCCACTGGCTACATGTAGTTATGTTTACCTAAGAAAAACATACAGTTTCTGCTGATAATTAAAAAAACGTAGTTATTACTATTTTCTAGACTAATTGGAGCAGCAAAGATTGTCAGACATGTTATGAATATAACGGCACAGAAATGAAATGTTTCATAAGTTTGGAGACTTACGAGGGGTGTTCAAAAAGTTCTCGGCCTCACCTAGAAAATAAAGGTCAAACTCCTATTCTTTGGTATAGCTGTATACTATGACGTCTTACAACACTGCACACAAAAATTCAAATTTTTGTATTCATTAATGAGCACGTGACGCCCCGTCAAAATGGGGTGGGTGAGGGCAAATCACAAAATGGCCGCAAAAGAAGCGTCTGCTCTGATCAAGTGTATCGATAAAAAAGGATGTCTCCTAAGGACATCCATGAAGACATGGTCAAGACACTTGGTGATGACTCCCTTTCTATTTTAAATATAAAGAATGGGGTTACTAGCTACAAGCGCGGCAGGGAGAGCACAAAAGATGAACATATGTCAGGATGCCACAAATCAGCACCACGGACAATCCAGTTGAGGCCATCCATCACATGGTAGTAAATGACAGATGTGAGACTGGCCAACATGTAGCAGGTTCTTTGGCCTGTGTTATGACTCAGTTCACAATGTTTTGTCGAACATCCTGGGGATGAAAAAACTGTCTGCATGGTGGGTGCCTCGAATGTTTTCTGAACATCAGCAGTTAAACAGGCTTAACATTTCAAGGAACGAATTCAGTCCAATCCATGCAATTTCCTCAAAACATTTTTCACCCAAGTTGAGCTGGGTTCACCACTTTCACCCCGAATCAAAACAACAGAGCAAACAATGGATGAATAATTTTTCCGGCCCCCCAAGAAGTTTTAGCGAGTTTCGTCCGTTGACAGGGTTTTTGCCTCTGTTTTCTGGGACAGTAAGGAAGTAATCATGGTTGACTACATGTGAACGGGTTAAAGCATCAATGGGGAGTACTATGCAACAGAATTACGACATTTGAGGGCAACGATCAAAGAGAAAAGGAGAGGAAAGCTCCGAGCCAGCGTGCTGACAATGCACCTGTTCACACAGCACAGGGATCAGTGACAGCAGCAAACGAATTTGGGTTTGCAGTCTAACCCCACCCTTCCAATTCACCTGACCTAGCACCCTCGGACTTCTACCTGTTTCCTAAACTCAAGTTCCACTTACGTGGTCGACGTTTTGATGGTAATGATGACGTCATCTATGCGGTATAGGCTTATCTGGGGGCTCCAGATTCAACTTTCTTCCACAAGGGGAAAATAAAGCTGGAACATCACTGGACCAAATGTATTGCAGTTAAAGAAGACTATATTAAAAAATAGTGTAAGAAAAAATTTACTGCCATGACGTTTTCTAGGTGAGGCCGAGAACTTTTTGAACACCCCTCGTATTACCCTAGTTTGTATGTATCTAAGAATATTTTTAGGACGCATTTATCATTACTTTGACTAGCCTGTGTCCAGTCCTATCGTGATTTTTGGCGGCAATCCTCGGGCCTGTAGACGATCCCTGCCGCCCAGTTAACTCGGCTCTCTGGCTTTACGCCTGTAGGGATTCTGCACGACAGGAGTTTGTTGAAAAACTCATACCGGCAAGAGTAATGAATATATCACTTACAATAAGTGGGTTGCATGTACACTTTCCCTGGCATTCTGTGGCTGGCTTAGTCTGACGTTGGGAAATCCTACTTGAGCATTTTGTAATAATAAACCCTATTTTACATTTCTAATTAACCAGAATATGAATGTTTCAATATTTCAATCATTTTCTATCCGTCTGAAAGTTAAATCCGAACCTAATGAGAGTTATAGGCAAAGGCATATCTAAGGTTTAAATTGAACATTTATTTGCAACAGACAAAAACGGCTCCAACAAACGCATGTTAACATATCCAAAGCTGAACAAGGCTATGTATTTCGACATTAAATATTAGTCTCTATAAGTTAGTTAGTATAACAAGTACCTGTTGGTTCAATGGCTACAAAATGTATGAATACAGTAGAACATCAGCAACTTACTTTACCCACTTACGACTACATACGCTACTTCTATCAAGGCTATCACCTTTGACAACCATTATTTAGTAACAAGATGAATAGGATAAAAAGAACATGCTAATATCGGATGTTAATCAGTCTTTAAAAACAACGCTTTTCCTTTTTAACAAAACTGTCAAAAGAACTTGAAACATGCAATCTTACGTTAGTCAAAGCAGTACTTTAACGTAAGTACAATCTATATCATACCCTCAAAGCTAAGACTTTGATTTTTTTTCTTGAATTGTTTCACATGATCCACCTTCTTTAGGTCGTTACAGGCTCAACTCTCCAGCGAACTGGACAAAGGCAACTACAAACAGAGCGACACGAAACCGACAATAGTGAGCGCACTAGGTGCTATCCCTAAGTTGATAAAGTGTTACTTATTCAGCCACCACAACAAATAAATCACACTACTGGTGGATTCTATTGAAATGCATGTTACTGAGAATCACATTAGTGCCGTAACCTGGTGATAACGATAAACTTCAAGTTGGTTTACACTTGTTACCTCCATGAAAAATGGAGGTATTATTTTTGGCGTGCCTGTCTGTGTACCTGTGTATCTGTCTGTCTGTGTTTCCGGACATCTCCGGCCAACATAACCTTTGAACCTTTGGATGGATTGTAATGATATTTAGTATGTGGATAGGTGTTGGGTAGGCAAAGGTCAAGGTTGATTTTGTGCCTCCTGGTGGCTGACCTTGGTACTACATCAGACCTTCCGCTTTTTGTATCTTTTGTCCTGGACATATGGTCTTGATTTTTGAGTGGTGGATAAAAAAAAACTTGTAATCAATTTCTAACAAAACTATTTGAATACTTCTAATTAAAAATATTGTTATCATTTCTACCAAAAATATTTTGAATACTTCTACGTAAAAAGAATGCTGGTTATAATTTGTAACAAAACTATTTTGTAAGCAAATATATAAGTTTTTAACATGAATATAACAAACTTACCCGATTATCAACTACACGATAAGAGATAAATATGTTGGTGATATCTTTTTAAAAAATCAGGATAAAAATACATCAAACACTCTCGCAGGATCTGTTGTTTTTAAGCTGGTTCGTCAGCCAAAGAGTAGTTATAATATCAGCTGAACAACACAGAATGATACATATGCGTTCCTGCTTTAAACGACAGCATTAATTCTCCATCAAAATAATTCTACATCTTCTACATACAATGTAAAAAAACTGATGTGACTGACCTGATGTACTCCAAAACTAAGGCATGATAATAAAAGAAATCATCTTTGACCCAGTGGTCATACTGCTGGTCTTTGAACTAACTTGGTATCTGAAACGTATGTCACTCATAAGCATGTAGGCTGCCTCACCCGTTTGATTTCACGATAGTCATAAACTTTGAGGTAAGTCTAAATAGTATGCTCAATTCTGCATCCCTTTAAACTAACACAGTTTACGAACTGTGCATGTTCACTGAATTCCCATGTGAAACGGACACTTTCTTGTTCTAATAAGTGTTCTTTTGAAGAAGTGTTCCAACTACGCTACATGTAAGTATATTATTTGTAAGAAATACGCAATTCATTCTTGCGGCTGCGATGTATTTTAGCGAAATAAACCATTCTTCTACTAGTACTACTTCTCCTAAACTGGCCACAACTGCCATAAATGTGACTTTAGATTTCTGCTGAATAAATTGCTTCCTGCACTCCTCACATCTGTTTTGTTTCTCCAGTGTGCCTTCAGATGACCCAACTGTATAAAATGTGTGCTACACTCCTGCCTTATGTAGAGTTTCTCCTGTGTGTCCGCGCCGCATGTGTTTTTTCAGAGTCCCAAGCCGACTGAAATTCCTGCCGCACTCCTCACACCTGTAGGGTTTCTCCCCAGTGTGAATACGCATGTGGCTCTTCAAATCACCAAGCTTACTAAACTGCTTGCCACACTCCTCACACCTGTAGGGTTTCTCTCCAGTGTGAGTCCGCATGTGTTCCTTCAAACGAACCAGCTGACTGAACTGCCTGCTGCACTCTTCGCATCTGTATGGTTTCTCTCCAGTGTGAGTCCGCATGTGTTTCTTCAGAGTTCCAAGCTCAATGAACTGCCTGCTGCATTCCTCACACCTGTAGGGTTTCTCACCAGTGTGAGTCCGCATGTGCCTCTTCAGATGACCAGCCTCACTAAACTGCCTGACGCACTCTTTACATCGGTAGGGTTTCTCCCCTGTGTGAGTCCGCATGTGTTTCTTCAAATTACCTAGGTGATTGAACTGACTGCCGCAGTCCTCACATCTGTAAGGTTTCTCTCCAGTGTGAGTGCGCATGTGTGTCTTCAGTGTTCCAAACTCAGTAAACTGCCTGCTGCATTCCTCACACCTGTAGGGTTTCTCCCCTGTGTGAGTTCGCAAGTGTTTATTCAAATTACCTAGGTGATTGAACTGCCTGCTGCAGTCCTCACATCTGTAGGACTTCTCCCCAGTGTGAGTATGCATGTGTGTCTTCAGTGTTCCAAACTCAGTAAACTGCCTGCTGCATTCCTCACACCTGTAGGGTTTCTCCCCTGTGTGAGTTCGCAAGTGTTTATTCAAATTACCTAGGTGATTGAACTGCCTGCTGCAGTCCTCACATCTGTAAGGTTTCTCCCCAGTGTGAGTCCGCATGTGTGTCTTTAGATCACCCAGGCGGCTGAATTGTCTCCGGCACTCCTCACACCTGTAGGATTTTTTCCATGTGTGAGCCCGCATGTGAGTTTTAAGAAGACAAGGACAACTGAACGGCTTGGCACACTCCTCACACTTGTACATTTCTACACCTTTTTCCTCCTCACTGAACTCCTCTACAGACTCTTCACGTCTTTTTCCTTGCCAGGTAAAAACAGTGTCAGCAGAACCCCCTACTGATCCTCTCCTGGTATCATCCGAACCCTGTCCGCTGCCTGTTGTCGCCATGTCAACAATATCTGGATTCACTTCTGTACAAAAGGAGACAAGAGATCTATAAAACGTGGAGTAATTAGTTTTGTAGCATAGCATAGTATAGAATAAAAGTTACTAAAGCATTCAACGTAACTAAAACCACTGATACAACATAAAAGACGGGCAAATTTGACCTGACTTTACTGTATGCGATTGCTGATGCTATGTAACTTGTTGCATTCCGAAACATGTTATTCCAAATCATGTTTTGGAATAGATCACGTTTTAGATTGCAACAGGCATTCCACACCTTGTATTCTAAATCATGGCGCGGATGGACCACGATTTGGAATGTTCCAAAACGTGACGGATCACGCTGTCAATTACTTTTGATTGACAGGGGTGGTGATTAATTATTCATACTGAAGGCACGTTATGGAATATTCCAAAACATGTTTCAGACTAAATCACGAAATGGAATATTCTAAAACGTGCTCCTGACATATAGGCTTGGGAAAGGGCTTCGACAACATCAATTTGTACCCTATCCTAAGTGACCCTGGGCGAAGTCCGGGAAGGGGTTAAAGGTATGGGCAGAAAGTCCGGAGCAATCGCCCAGAGGGACGTGTAGCGAGCTTCAAGTAGACGTTGAAAGAGAGGGTGGGTGGGTGGGTGGGCTGTTTTTAAATTCGCTTCGCCCACTGAGACGCCGTCAGCCCACAACCACACACCCCCTCCCCCCCTCCGCGTGTTCCGTCACGCTCGTTCGCTCGTTTCTACTTTGTCCTGGCCGGTCTCCAGGGCTCCGAATGTGCAATATCTTGTTCTATGCCGTATTTAAGCACGCTGGTGCCAGGTGAGGGTACTCAGGTGTGTATGAGGTCACGTGGACTGCTCCTAACCTGGTTACGCTTCTGACAAATGCGCGCCCAGGTCAGGAGCGTCCCCTTGACTCAATTAGAATAGTGTGGAGTGGCTGCTGCTTTTAAACATGATCAACTTATAGATTGTGAGCTGCGTGTGAGCTCTACCATGCTCCGGCAGTGTAGTGTCCATCCTGTGTTCAGGTGTCCAAGTTTAATTGACGGGTGTGCCGTGACTAACACTGAGGAGGTTTAGAAGGTCAAAATATAAAGAGGCAGACAGCATGGGCAATGCTAATATCCGTAATATACAAAAGCTACCAATTTTAAACTTAGGGAAATATTTGCTGATATTTCGATAAGTGACAGGTATTCTAAACACTAGTGAGACATTTATACACTCCCATTCATCATTAAACTCGACACGTCTCAGACTGTAGCCATAATGGACGTAAAGCGTTACAAAACATGTCCAGACACGTATCATTTAGCCACGCCATCAGAAGTACGAGGCTCCGCCCCAGACACGTGATTACGAAAAATCATGTTTTGGAATAGAGCATGTTTTGGAGTGCATTCCACTTAGTTTTATTCCAAGTAATGTTTTTGGAATGGAACACGTTTTGCAATGCAATGTTCAGTACTTCAGTGGTACATAGTGAATGCCGCCCCATCCTGTCTTTCAGCCACCAAAAGTTCGAAACTTCTGCCCGAAGATTCAGCGTGCATCATTTGCGTTAGTTAGTGAACTTTCCCGTGGTTTCGAATCCACACTGCATCAGTTAGCGAACCGTCCCGAGGAATTCACAGTTCCCCGCCTGGCGTCACGGCATGATGGAATCCAGATGTGAGAGGCGGGCTCACGTAGGGGTTTTCAATTTACATAATTTTAATTTAAAAATAGAGCAGATATGGACGCGGTCATTATCAAACAAAACCAAAATTCCCTCATAATAGTAATTTTTGTTCGGCTAATAAAATTCCAGACTGGATTGCAATAATTTCATTTGATATTCACACACACACAGGATAACCCGGTAACCCCCTACTGACCCTTGATCAGTTAATCTGTTTACCTTACCTCGTGAGCTGTTAACTTCTATGAATCATCATTTGAGAGCTAAACCTGGAATTTAGTACAATCCAGCTCAATTTCTGTCAGATAATTCATCATCAGTGATCCACAATACAACATGTTTTTGCGTAGCTGCACTGAAAGTCAGTGGATGAGTGCATACAGCCCAAACAAAATTGTGCCCATATACACCACCACACAAACCATTGATTTGTCAATTCTACAAACCTTTGAATACCAAAACGTGTCAGTTTTTTCTTACCTGAAAGTTAGTTGAGACACAGTTGCCAGTGTAATCACTGCACAGCGCGATTTCGGACTCTCAAAAGCCGGAAAACTGCTCAAGATGCCGGTCAAGATTCCGTACAGATGCGGACAGGAAGGGCAATGCCGTGACCCGGAAGTATTCCCCTCCCTGCGGTCAAATCTCACTACCTGATTACCCAACAAATGTACACGGGTCTTAGAACAAAGTGCAGGACGTACTCAGGCCTGCTGTCGTCGAGTACACGTAGTAGTAGGCATCCTTCCATCCTTCCATGATCTTCCATGTACAAGTAGTACATGGGTATTGTGACAGATGACATGGAAAATCGCCTACTCGAGTTTTACTAAAACTTTTAAGCTACGAATTCTAAAAAAAAAACATATTACAACGAGATAAAAGCTAAAAATGACAAATACCCTAACCTGTGACATTGAGTTAAATATATAGAAATTCACAAGAAACGGGCTTTTTATTAACTTCGCTAAGAAGTTAATATTCCCACTGACGTCATATTAAAGTTGACCAATCGCGAAATCTCGCGAGGGGTCAACAACCTATGACGTCATCACTCTTCTATCCTTCACTTGTCGCGACCTCATCTGCGCAGCCGGACGTCAGTTTTTAGCTCCTCAGCAGTCGGTTCTCAGCACGCTATGGCGGCGTGCCAGCCGTCCCTCACCGAGCCGAGAAGTCTTCAGGAGTAGTCCGGAGAGAGGCAACGGAGAGAACGGAGATGTTTTAAGCTGTATTTAGAACGTCTAGGGGTTTGTTTCTTGTGTCTCGTTTGGTTTTGTGGTTCTTTTTTT